TACTAAACTTACTCTGATAGATGGGCTTAAATCAACAAATTTATTTCACTTTGAGTCATTTTTTGGCAACAATTCTTGTGGCTAAAGATTTTTGGGATGGAAGTATGATTAGGTTCTTAATTAAATAGCTAAGGGGAAAGACTACTGCTGTTTGTTTCTTACTTACAAGGTCCCAAACATTGTAGCAGTATAATTAAAAAAATTGTTTCAGAAAATGCAGTGACTCCACTATGTTTAATCTTGGGCAAAATGGCATTTGTCGGGCCAGAGCTCTGAAGTATTTACAGCCCAAATAAGGGAGAAGAAAGGTCTAAAATCCCTCATGGCGGCAGCTTTTGTTAGTTGATTTTTCAAATGCTCTCTTCATAACTTGGCAGTTAAGCGTGCGAGGGCTCCAAGATGTAAGGTTTGGCGAAAAGCTTTGTGCAAAGATCAAATAGTGGGAAAGTGGAGGAGAGAGGAGAGGACATGTGACTGTGAGTAACCCAAATGGGTAGTTAGCCAAAGTTCAGATGATGCTACACAAAAAATTACAGGATGCAAACATAGTGGCTCCTGGAGATGAATGCAACAAGGAAGCTAAATGGTGTGTGTGTGCTGTATAATAAGGGATATTTAGATGTGGAAGGCTTGTCCTTGCTTCTCATCCAAGTAGTAAAATATATTGAATTCCAGTTTGCTTGTAGTGAAGCACCTAGCATCGGAGCACTTGCGGTAGCACAAAGTGATAGCAATAAATGATGCTTAAGTGGAAGCCTCTCATCTTATTTGCTCTGCTATTTTAGGATGGAGGTAGCATCTGTAAGAAAGTGATATAAGCGGTGCAATGCATCTTGTTTTACAAAGCAGAAGTGAGGAAGCCTGATACAGGCAGCTTTAAAATGGAGGGGCAGAGGATGAGAGGGAGAAGGGCACTGCATGCAGCCCTGAAATGCTTGTCCACTGGGGTAGGCGGAAACTTTTGTCATTAGCTAACAGGGCCAGGATTTTACTGTATCTCTGTAGTAGTCATACAGGGAAGAAGGTTTGGGGATAGGTTTGGAATAGTGCTGGTTTTAATGCAGCTGTTATTTTCTGGCCTGATACCCATTTTGTAGGGATTGAATTCTTTTTTTTTCACTTAAAGGTTTCCTCTGAAGAGGGAAGCATCCCTCAAGTCTGCAGAAGACACAGATCAAAATCATATTAAAACATGGTCTGTGCTTATGGTTCATGTTTGTCAGAAATGTAGTTTATTCTCAACAGATTCAACATTTGGGGTTTAATTAATTGTTAGATTTAAATGCTAAAGTATTTTGTCTTCCTCTGATTCATTGTCTTGAGATACAGCAAAACAGAAATGTTACATGGATCCATTTGATATGCCAGGTTAAAGGATTGGAAAAGAAGGAAAACAGATGGAATTCCCCCCAACTTGTTCCTTAGCCATCTCCAGGGATGAGGAAGCAAAGGGACAGGCTGTGCTGCCTCCAGCCCTGCAGAGTCCCGGCTCCAGAAGGCCTGTGATGGCCACGGTGGCAGACAACATCACCTTAACAAGCTGTTTGTCGTGGTCCTAGAAGCGAGAGCCATTTTTCTCCTTGCTTGTTAGGCTGAACGTGCTCATAAATTTGACCTCACTATGACTGTTGGATTATCTTCCTGCTTTCTTCCAGGGTGAGCTACTTTTGAATGCAAGGAAAATGCTTCCTTTATCATTTAAGTATTGATAAAGAAAGAACAGTCTCTGAGTCTTAATTGCAGCTCAGTTTGGACACTTTGTTATTCTGATGCCTTAAATTACCAAGCCTCTAACAGTTAACTTCCTGATACAGCGAGCAGTTTGTCAGCATCCCACCAGGGCTTGTTCTGCTGTGCTGGGGTGGCATTTGCATACCCAGGAGTTCAAGGTGGTGGGAAGCACCCGGCCTGTTTTGAAAACTCTAGTATTAGTATTGCTGATATTTGTAAAAACAAGCAACTTATCCCCACTCCCATTACCAGTAACAAAAACCCCAATGTAGATATCAAGTAGATAATAAAACCCGAAGCGTATAAATATATAAAACAAACTCCAAAATACATAAAGTGCGTAATAGTGGGATCACTAGAACTTAGAGCAAATGACTTTATTTGCTTTCTGACTTCTTTGCATTTGGCTGTGACATGGTGAGTGTTCACTCTTTTGCATAGTTTCTGGGAGGAGACGTTTTTAAGCACAGAAGAATCGAGTTGTAAAGCCTCAAATCAGCAAGGCGTGCTTTCAAATGGGAATTGACCCTCGCCTTTGTAAAAACCATTTAAAATGTCTTGGCAGGCAGCGTGCTGAAGATGGTGAGTAGGCAGAAATACTTTGCCAGCTCCAGGTAATTTAGTTGGAATATTCTGAGCTATCTGCAGGCAGCAAATCGCATTGTGAAATTAGGTGAGGGGGAAGTATGTTTTTGCTGAGAATGTTTCAGGTGTTTGTTAATTAAATGCTGTATGGGTTTAATTTTTATAGATGAAGTTTTAGTAATGTCTTTTTGCTAGTATTCAGCGGTGCAAATTCATTAACAGCGTGTGTGCTCTTGACTGCTTTTGTTCTCTTGGGCACTGCTTTTTGGGCAGCTGGGCCATGTCCTTTGTGCTATTGAGGCAGGTTTTATGTTGTCTTGTCCCTACTGGGCTCCCTGACTTCACAGCACACACGTGTAACAGTCTGTGCATCTACACTGTGCCCGTCTCCAAGAATTACTAGCTTTTTTTAAGCAGCTCAGTGACTGCATGTGCATGGTAAGTTTGCCTTCAGCTTGTTCCTTGAAGGCTGTCCAAAAAAAATGGATGGGAGTGGATTGCTGCCTGCAGATTAAGCCCCAAATTTGCTCTGGAGAGGCCGTGGGAAAGACGACTACTGGGAGCAGAGCATGGCCTGGGTGAATTATCGCTTTGGACGGCAGATGATGTATAGGCTGGCAGTTGGGGCACCAGCATCAAAGCAAGTTCTCTTGGCAACACGTTTTTGTCAAGATGGTCTCTTGTAGATTTGCATACGAACATTCGTTCCAGAGGATTTTTGGAGGCTGGTGTCTGGCTTGTAAAATTCCAACAGGCAGTCCGTTGCAACTATTTGCTCTTTCGTGTGCTGGCTTTCATTAAAATTCTTGGAGAAGGAGAAGGTGGTGTTGGTAGAAAGGAAGAGAGTGACAACATGTTTCTCTTGGCAGCGGTGCTAGGTGTTCCTGCTCAAAGTAATTGCGGAGCTGGGATGCAAATAAAAACTGCCAGGTGTTTGGTGTTTGCTGAGCAGCCAGAAGGATTTCAGTGGCACTGCGGGGTATGGGAAAGGAATAGGGGGTGGCAGCCGAAGCCTTAGCACCTCCTGGGGTTTCACAGGGCTGTGACACTGAGGCAGTGCCCAGGGAATGTAGAAAAGCCTGTTGAAACGACCCCCTTCATTGGGTTTTGTGCTAACCTTGGCTGCAGGCAGCTCTCCTGTTTGCTTTTGGGTCTGCAGCTGGAAAAGTCAGATTTTTTTTTTTCCTTTCCAGGTCTGTGCTAGCGATGGCAGATGTTAGTGCTACACCATGGACCTACTGAATGGCCAAAAATGGTTCACCATGTTTGCAATTTCAGGAATTTGAGGTTTCAGAAACCTCTGAAATTACAGCAGAGCTACAACAGAGATGGTTTGTTGTTTGTTTTATTTTCTTCCCCTGAAGTGGCCATTTGCACCGATGGTGTTCCAGCACCAACGGTTACTCTGGAGGACAGAGCCTGCCATTTGCTTTCCTAGCTCATGAACCCTGTATGCTTCATGTCTTGGCAAAAGCATAGGAAGATTGGATTTTGCCGTAGCGGATGCTTGAGGAGGGTTGCTCAGCTGTAGTCTCTACTCCAGTGGCTGTCGTTTGTGAGTTGTACTGTGCTTACATGGCACCGTTGGGTAGGAGAGAGGTTGCCCTCTTCAGAAAATAAGCAGTCTAGAGGTGTGTATGATGTATATTGATGGAGGCCGGGCACAGTACATCATAATAACAATTCTATTTCATTTCCTGTCTACTTTAATTATGAAAATAATTTAGTCTGTAGGACTAAATATGTTTCATGGAGTTACTCCGAGAGCGTGAGGAAGTGAGGTGCTTGGATTTATCATTCTTTGTAGCATTTTCTTTGCTGTGTGATTATCTGCACACTTTGAGTGTACTCCCCTGTGTATCTCTTGGTCCATCTCTCTCTTTCCTCAAACAAGTCCCTCTGTCCTGTCACTCTTTGTGGAGCAATTTCAGGTACTTTGCTCTCAAATGCTTTAAGCTGGTGCTTCTGGAATAAGCAATTCTGTGTGAAAATCCCGACGTTCTTTGTGCCACCATATGTGCTTCTGTGGCCGCGCGGTCAGGTGGCGCGGGGGACTAACTAACAGCTTTTTTGTGTGTTGGAGGATCACTTCCACTAACAGTTCACTGTGCGGCTGCCTAGATTCAAGGATTCATGGTGCTCCACACCATGAACAAGCGATGTGGGCACGGGGAGAGGTTTCCTTTGGGTTTGTGGGTTTTTGTTGACTTAAGGTGTGTGAAATCACATGTATGCCTCAAGCAATTTGGATTTCCTGTTGCAAGGAAAGCCTTCCTCTTTTTTTAAAAGAGAAAAGACAACAAAAAAACCCCTTTATGGTGGTGATGGGGTCAATTCCTCCTTATTCTTGTCTTGTGTGGTTTTAAGGTCAGCACTGGTGGCCAGCATTTTCATAGACTTTCTAAAGAAAAAAAAAACAACCCCAAAGTATTGTCATTGTAAATATTTGATATCTTGCCAACTTCCATAGTTTATGATAATCATAAATTGGCTTAGTTTTTAGAATTTTTTTTTGTTCTTACAAGCTCGAGTCAGTGTGTAGGCTATATTTAATAAGTTCATTTGTTTTGCTAGCAAATCCATGTAAAATATAACACCGTGTACAAACCTGAATCGTGAAACTAGTCTGTTGGAAATGTGCTGTCTGCCGTAGAGCTAACAGTTGTCTTCTTTTACAGGGCAATCACTTTGATCAATATGAAGAAGGGCACCTGGAGATAGAGCAAGCATCTCTAGACAAGCCTATAGAATCGGTAAGATACATACTTATCAGCATCATAAACCCACCAAAAATTAGGCCGTGATCAGATGGTACTCAATGTGAATGCAGTCAAATTTGATAGGAGTGGGCATCTTTTTGTCAGTACAGGGTTGATTTTTTTGGTGGTTAATTGCATGCTGAAATTAAGTGGGCCTGGGATATAATCTTTAAGTAGTTCTTCTAAAACTATAGGTGACTTTATAGTTCAACGTGGTATTTCAGAAATTATTTAAAATAATACATTCATTCGTAGATATTTATTTTGTTAAGTTTTTATACTTTTAGTTGAATAATCAGTTTAATTCATATGTGAACCTGATGGAATAGTGTAGTAGAATTTATTTTGATCCTTTTTTAGTTTATATTTTTGGAAAACTACTGGTGTGGTAAAGAAAAGTGTTAGAATGACATCTGGCAGTACGGAAACACGTTTGCATTAAAGTTAGTATAGCAGTCCTTCCCCATGAATCTGAAACTGCACTGTGAGTTTCTTTGAAGTATTGCTTTACTTTGAGTGTGGAGAGTACAGCTGTAAGATGGGGAAGAATTAAGTTTTGTTTAGTTTTACCTTTTTAGGCTTTTTGGAGCTTTTAAATTTTTCTCTTTGCAAAGCATCTTCTTCTAGTCTTAGGCACAGTAGCTTGTTCAGCCTAAACTGGACCTAAGTTTAGGACCTAACTTAGCTTTAGCTAAGTTTCATTTGCAGTTTCAGTATGAGAGCAAGAAAACTTGCAGTGAATAATTAAGGGCCACTTAGTGGTGTTCTGATTAAGACTAGATTTTTGTTAAGAAAGTACTTCTCAAGTATTTTTTTCCCCTATTAATAATTTAAGTTCTCCTAAAAGTTTCTTCGTGTTAGTCTGCACTTAGAAGAAACTTAGTCTTAGCAAAAGATCAATATATATTTTTCATTCATGTGTAGGTTGGTGTTGTGTGTGTTTGTGTGCGTGTTAGATGTTTACAAAAAATTTACACAACTTGGGGTGTTCGACATTTTTCTTCCGCAGCAGTTGGCCCATATTAGCTAAGCAGCCATGATCTGGTTTGTATTGCACGGTCTGCCTTTTTTAATTTCTTCTCTAGGGTTTCCTTTCCCCCTTCTTATTTCTGTTCTTCTGGTCCAGTGAACACTGCATATAGTACCTACTGTCTTAATGTGCTGGCATGATGCTAGATTTAGGCATGGCAGTAATTGATGACGCATGAGATAATGCTGCAGAGATGGGAATTCGTATTCAATGTTCTCCTGAATACTTCAATCTTACATTGTGATACGGGGATTTTAATTAAAATGCCAAGCTTGTTTCCTTATGTAAATATAATGAGAAATACTTGTTGGTAGCCTATTTTGTGCCACGCTGGAAATCAGCATTTCAAAATAATTCAAATACTACTTACAGACTAGACTGATTATCTGATTTCTAAAAGTGTTTTCCCAAACAGAGGGCTAGAAGTGGTCACAGACTACATCTCTTTGGTGTTCTTAAGGGAGCGATGCCTACAGAATTGTGTAAAGCTTGAACTAGTACACTGGACCCGATGACATGGGCACACAGGCTGACAGTTCAGCTTGGATTGTCTGCGGATGTAACACTTCATTGCAGTTTGATTAATGTTCAACTGCGGCAGAAAAATTAAATTCAATTACGACTTTAATATTTTATTCATATATATATATATGTCACCATCCAAATATCAGGACCTTATTAATCTTTACAGCTTTTTGGTAGGTTTTAATATGTGCAGTTCAGCCTTACGGTTAAATTTGAAAACAGTTTGATGGAGAGGACAAGAGAATAGCTTACCTCTTTGGGAGGAGAAAGAGTTAAAATCTTCAATTGTTCTTACTTTAAAATGCAGTTTGCTTCACTCTTTTGTCTGTCATAAGAGAAACAAGCATTTGAGGTGGAAGACCCTTACGCTAGGACATTAAACTCTTGGAAGGAGTCACAGAACTGAGTAAATGTATGTTCTGCATCGCCATAGCAGCTGTGCTCTGTGAGCACACTTGAGCTGGCTTTACCTGCTAGTCCCAGAATTTAAAAGCTGTGACTGTTGCATGGGGTGTTTGGGGTTTTTTTGTCTCATGAACAAGCCTGGTGGCAGAAAGAAACTGGTCACTTTGAAGGTTAATCTTCACATCATCTTCATTAAGTACATTGTTGAGTCTTAGAAGAAAATCTGTAGCTGGGAAGCATAAATAATTTTGTCAAGTTTCCTGTGAACATGATTTTGCTTCCACACTATTAATGACCCGTGTGCTTTTTAAATTGGCAAATTACACACATTAAAAGAAGGAATGTTTTTCTTGTCGCAGGTTAGTGGTGTACCTTTCCTGCAGCATTTTTCACAAGGAAAGAGGTGTCCAGACTGCTTTTTCTGCCGCCTTGTATTTTGTGCTGTTTGCTCACCTAGAAGTGGGTAACATCCTTGAACTGCAATTGAGAGGGAAGGAGTAAGGACAAGTATATAATTTGCAAATACCACACATCTAAATATTTGCAGTATTAACATTTATTCACAAATTGTTTTATAATCCTTAACCAGTTCTCTGTTAGCAATTCAACTGACCTTTTAAAAAGGAATCTGCTCAGAGTAATGAGTAAGAGCCTATGTTTCACATTATGGAAATAGTTTAGATGACAAAGGTCTCTGTGCGAGGAGGAGTGTTTATAACAATACCAGATCGAAGCACTTTCCAGTTAAAAGTTTTTAAAGTTTGGTTACTCTTCAGACTGAAGAGACCATTAAGTATATTCTCTTAAATGTGCTCCTTGCATCTTCTCACCTCTTAGTAATATGAAAATGCTTTAAAGACTAAAGGTAGCTTGCATTTGGAAATCCCAAGGGGCAGAGGGTTTCGCTTGAAGCATGTTTGACAATCACCGCTGAAGTGAGATCCATCTCTGCAGCATTATCTGTTGAGAGGTGCTGACTGTACTGCTACAGCATGCAACTCAAAGGTGGCTGGAAAAATAGGTTTGGGAGTCTACAGATCATTACAATGTTGAAATGTGTCCTCAATTAGCCTACTAGTATTTTTTTGTTCCTGTGGAAATCCTGCTTTGTACAGCTTGTTTAGGCCAAAGATGTCTGGACTGAAACATGCGACTATAACCAAAGTACATTTATGGAAAATAGAGCTGACGTGAGCTAGTGGATGTACGTAGCCTAAATGAGAAGCCAGCTATTTTCCATTACTAAATTGAAGAAAATATTTCATATCAATGGGCTCTTCATAGCTGCAAATACTGATATTTTTTTTTCCCCCCCACAAGTAACTTTTTTTTTTTTTGTTCTGGTTTGAAAGATGCTGCAACTACACTGGCTGTTCACGTCAGTGGAACCACTGGTGTCTGGTGTCCTTGAAAAATCAGAGCACTTAACCCTTTTTTTTAAATTCAAGAAGCTGCATGCATTTGTTTTAAAATATTTTAAGTGCACTGAGTTCAGGTACTCACATGGGAAGTCACGAAGTATTGCAGCTTTAATAGAATCCAGATTTTCGTCACGCTAATTCCTTATTTCTACTTGTTTACTGAATCTTGTTGCTGTGAATTTATGGTTTTCTTTGTCCCAGCAGTAGAGATCAAGTAGGAGATAGCAATACACCCTTAAAGCCTACACAAGCCAGCAGCCCTTCCCCATGCAGGCAGTACGCAGAGTGTAAGGGAGTCGAACCAAGCTGTCGCCATTGCAGGTTGGAGGCGAGACTGCGTATCCCCACTTATTCTAGAGCTTGTTAGTTTGTCCTTGTCATAACTAACAAATGTCCTCCCCCCGCCCGCCCAGTTCTGCTCAGTTACACAAGGAGTTTCCTTGAACTACACAAGGTTTCAGGCTTCAGTTGGTAGTTGTTTGATGATCGTGGGCTATTGTAGATGACTGTACGAGCTGAAGCTGGGTTTTGTCGCACTGTATATCTGTACAGATCTGTGGACTCCACTAGTTCCAAAGTGTAATTTGATGAGGCTGCTGATTTGACATTTAGCAGTAGCCATATGTGGACAGCGCTATAAATAATGTGCTTCTTGAAGCTGAATGGTGTAGCATTACTATTTGGCTTTTCTCTCTAGTCTTCATTGTGTCATCTGTAGTGAGCTATAGGTTTTGTTTTGGGAATCTTTTCAACCTCTTGTTTGCATGGGTTCACCCAGTAGCATCCGATCCTTGCTTATAGATTCCTCAATACACAGTCAGCACAGCTTACAATCCACTCAAGAGACGTATGGTTCCTGCCGATGCCGAGAGATGAATGATGTGAACATGATATGTGGGGTGGCATGGGGATCTTAGGGAAAACCTGTATGGGGCAAAACTAGCATTTTGGTTTATCTGTAATGCAGCTCAATCCACCAACTGCAGATTATATCCCACATACAGCATCATCAAAACCTTTCAGTTCTTGTACACATCTTTTCATTGTATGCATATTTTTTTTTTTTTTTCTATTGGCCAGGACCTTTGCCAGAAATTTGTGCTGGGAATATCCTGATCAGGAACCACTGATACCAATGGAAAGCAATCGAGGGCACAGGGAATTGGGGAGGCCAAGTTCAGCTGCTGGAGAAGGTCACTTTGGATGAGATTTTCCAAAGTAGCTTAGCTGACTCTTGTGACAGTTTGAAGTCAAGACCTTTACATTTCCTACATGCTTTTGGAAAAGTTACACTTCATCTGTAATGCAAAATTCCCCATCTGTAAATAGAAATGATCGCTGCTGAACAGCTCCACAGTGGTGAGAGTAATGCCGGGAGGTGTAAATTGTTCCATCAAGAGCCTGCCGAGCTACTCTGTCCTACACTGAGCATCCCGCAGTCTGGTGTCCAGCGCTGTCTCTGTCACTGTCTTCCCAGACAGATAGCGCTGCTCTTGTGAGTGGTAATGGAGAGCTCACTTGCTCACTCAGACACGTACTGGGAGACTTACTGTGGCTGTAACGCAAGGAGCTCCACCAAACCGATAGTGTAAGAAAGTGAGGAGACTCGTGCCAGCTCTCTGCTGAGAAATGGGGGGATTTCCTCGTTGGGCTGTTGGCGTTTGTGTATCGCTGCAACTCTTCC